GGTTATACACAATAAGTTGACTGTTTATGGTACATTATTGAAATTTTTTTCATAACTTGTCTGGATATGTATCATAATTTGACGGGTTATAGTGCAAATTTGACATTTTTTTACATAACTTGTCCAGTTATGCAGCATAACTTGTCTGGTTATGCAGCATAACTTGTCTGGTTATGCAGCATAACTTGTCTGGTTATGCAGCATAACTTGTCAATTTTGACATGTTTTTATATAGATTTTTTCATAACTCGTCCGCATATGTATCATAATTTGATGGGTTATGGTGCAAATTTGACATGTTTTTACATAAATTGTCCAGTTATGCAGCATAACTTGACATGTGATTAGCATAACTTGAAGATAACTTGAACAAGTCAAAAGGTTATGATCATAATTCGATCATCATCACCCGACCATAACTTGATAGTCCAGCTGCACTTGTAATTTTCAGATTCAACAGCATGAAATTGATAAATCCTGGGTTTACATTCTTTATGATTCAATGAACAATCTCAAACATAATCTAAAATTCTTGTCAATGAATATTAACATTCAATAGATTGTAAGAATTAGTGTAAATCTCAAGTCATCATTTAAAATATAAGACTAGTCTTTAGAAACAGTAGTCATATCATCCAAAAGGTTGTATTCTAATATCATCCCATTTTTACGAGTCTAGGTCGTTAGAACTTTGGGTGAAAAGGATGAATGAATGAATGCCAAGCTCTTCCATTTTTTCCCTCTGTTCCTTTGCACTTTTTCTTTTGTTTCTCTTCATTGATTTTTCTTCTTCCTCATTTTCTGTTTCTTCATAATCTTGTTCCTGCAATAATAAGTAAGGTTGTTTAGTATTAATGTGGGTTTTTCTTTTTTTTCCTTTTTCCAAAGTAGTATTAAGAAGATTCATACCTTTTTGATTCCTTGAGCAGCAACTTTTCTCATTGCTATTATCTTTTCAGCTTCTTCAAATGTTCTGTCCAATGCTTGTTGACTGATATCAAACGAGTCTATGAGTTGAGTATAACCGAATTCTCCCTCATGTTCTCCTAGCTCTGCAGATAATTCTTTTTCTCTGTCTTCCTGTTCATTGAGGTACAAATTAGTATATCATTAAGGAAACATTGCAAAAACAAAATCAACATTATTTTGCGTTGTTTCATTACCTCAGAGTCTGTGAGTGGATTGTTTTGTATTTGTTTGAGAAACAGAAGCACATCTTTTTGAATGGTTTTCATAATGTCCACAGAATTCACAACCATTGCCTTTATTTCTTTCAAATCCTCTTTCATGGCTGCTTGGTTGGCTTCAAAATGTTGTACTTTGTTAAGCAGATTAGTTAGATCAATTTCCATCTTGTCCAGTTTTCTTGATGCTGCTGGTGGCATTTCACTTTGAACTTCATCGTCATTTATTTCTCTCAAAAAAACCATAACTTGACAGTGATTTATTTTCGACAATTTGAATAATCTGACCTGCACTTGTAATTTTCAGATTCAAGAGATGACATAACTCGACATGTTTTGATCATAACCTGACCATAACTTGATTTTTGAAGCCTTAAATTTATTCAGCATGCTTACTATACGATAGGTTTCCAATAAAATAATCTTTTCATTCAAAATTTCAATTCAAGAAAATCAATACTAACATACTCAAATGAATTCGTGATTTTCCAGCTAGTGATTAACGGATTTACCTTTTTCTTATGTTACCTTCCCTGTTCTTCGATTTCTCGTCTAACGACACCGGCTGACCTAAGAGAGAGAATCGGTGGTGGACCTTCCCTGTTCTTCAGTTTCTGGGACTGGTGAAGGGATGAGAGAGAGAGAGATTCAGAGGGAATAGAGACAGATCACGGATTAGAGACAGATCGCGTTATAGGACCGGAGGGAAGAGAGAGTGATCGTAAGAAAGCGGCGGAGGGAAGAAACAGTTCGCCGGAGATCGCCGGAGGGAAGAGAAAGTGATCGTGGGAGAGCGGCGGAGGGAAGAAACACTCATCAGAGAGCACCGGAGGGAAGAGAGAGAAAGAGAGAGCAGAGGTCGGTGCAAAGAACTGAGAGAGAGAGGTGTTTTAGGGTTTTTTGAGTGAAAAGGGCAGTTTTGGAATTTATGTGTAGATAAATCTGAATGTATCTTAATTTGGCCTATTTATTAACTTATGTAAACTATTGGCCTATTAATTTTTATTGATCTCAAATTTTGGCCTATTTCCCTCATTCTCCCTTAAAACAATTACAAAAGACAAAACGTTGATAGAAAAAATGACCTGTTGACCATTCCCCCAAAATTGTAGAACAATGGTGTCCAAAGTGGAAATGAGTTCTCAGTCAAAAAATACCAGATTATTTCATTAAAAACTGAAAATTGTAGAAAAAATCACTTTTTTAAAAATTAATTAAGTAAATAGTAGATTTTAAAATTATTTAAAGTAAATATTAATTTATCGTATAAATGTTTTATTTATGATTGATAAAAAATCTTTATGTACGTGAAATTTTTTTTTGAACAGTCGTAAAAAGAAAATTTACGTAAAAAATTCTTTTTATTAGTTGTAAATACAGTTTTAAAATACGTTATTTACCTAATTTAATTTTAAAATATTCTATTTACTAAAATTTTCCTTTTTTAAACAAAATAATATGGTATTTTTTGACTCGAAAAATTCGACCTCATTTCTACTTTGGACACTATTATCCTACAATTTTGTCGGAATGTTCAACAGATCCTTTTTTCGATCAACGTTTTGTGTTTTGTTATTGTCTCCAGTGTGACACGTCCAACAGGAATAATATGAGCATGACTTTTTGAACTTTTACTGGTAGTGATCACTTTCTGACTTCTGTGGTGAATTGGAAATTAACATAAACTATGGAGGATCACAGGTGGAGGAAATATATATGTTCGACTTCTCTGTCATTGCCCCTTTTGCAATTAAAGATCAAGGATGGCAAATTTTTTAAGCGATAAACGACATGGTGTTTAGCACATAAACGACAGCATACCTGTGATTAGGACAGATAAATAAAATATTGGAATACTACTACTCGGTATCTCTTTCGCCATTTCAATTTGTTTCTCTACGTAGAAAACTAAAAAAATCAATAAAATCTATTATCTAAGATTCTAAATCAAGGTGGAGTAATCTCATCTCTAAATTGCAAAGGGAGCACTGGATCACTTTTTTTTTTTTTTTTTTTTTTTTTTTTTTTTTTTTTTTATACATTGCTAGCTAACACCGGATCACTTTCACGTATTTAAAACACTGTAGAGTAAGGGTATTTTTAAGGTCAAAATCGAAGGTTGATCGAGAAAAGTATTAATTTGTGTCTAAAATTTAATATGAAACAATATAAGATAAAATACATTTTTGAATAAAGCCAAAACAGAAGGTAAAATGGGTAAACACCAAAAATAAAAAATAAAAAAAAATAAAAGTGGCGGGTAAGTAGCAACGTCCAACATAGATGCTGATTGGTCAGCTCCAAAAAAAAAAAAAAAAAAATTGTCTTTTTTCCCCTCTTTTCTGTTGCCCCTTGATTTTTCTTCTTCCCAGGTCGTCTTATTTTGACTCCATTTTCAAACTGGAATTTCCCTCTGATTTATGGGAGACAAAGGATGGGTTTTGGTGCAAGATCCCGAAGAGAAGAACATGGACGATCGAAGTTCCAGGCCTCTGAAAGTGACGTTTAAGGAACCCGCCAAACACTGGACTGACGCGCTTCCAATCGGCAATGGCCGCCTCGGCGCCATGGTCTGGGGAGGCGTCTCTTCCGAGATTATCCAGCTCAATGGTAATGGAAAGCGCGCGAAATTTTGATCTCAAAAAATCTGTTTGGTAAAAAGGAAAAGACGATTGAAATTCTGGAATTGCTTGGAAAACGAGTGACTTGTTTTTCTCTAGGTTTTGACTTGTTCGAATCGGTATGCAGAGGACACTCTCTGGACTGGGACGCCAGGGAACTACACAAACCCTAAAGCTCAAGAGGCGCTGAAAGAAGTTAGGAAGCTTGTCGACCATGGTGATTACGCTGAAGCCACTAAAGCCGCAGCCAAATTGACTGGAAATCCTGCTGAGGTTGGTTAAGAGAAATCTATCTTCTTTTAGTGCTCAATTTGGAATTTCTTTATGTTATTATTCGTTTAGTTTTGGAATTGTTTGGTTATTTCAAAATGATGGAATATTTTGGTAGTTTAATCAAGGATTTGGGGCTTGTTTGTGATAGAAGAGAAGTAAAAGCCCTATCTTATCAAAATTCCAAGTTACCGTTTTGATATTATATTTTTTTTAAAAGAATTTTAAGACATAAATATTTTTAATAAATGTTTTTTTTTTTCCCCTTTTTGGATAGGATATAGGATTTGTTTTTTTGGTTGTCACTAAAGTATACATAAAAAATTGTTTAGACTTCCAATAATAACATCTCGTGTTCTTATAGAACTGTTACGTCTCCTCATGAGGCTTGCCTTCCTATTTATTTTTTGGAATTTTTTTTTCGTCATGTTGATTTGTTTCTTTATAGATTTTTAGTTTTGCTATTTTGTAGTAGTTAAAATGGGTTTTACATGTTAATGTTGGTAAGTTCTTCTCAAAGACAGCTTCTAGTTTTTCTCGGGGTTATATTCTAAACCATATTCTGCTGTGGTGAAGGTTTACCAGCTTTTGGGTGACATCAATCTAGAATTTGATGATTCTCATCTTGCATACGCTGAAGAAACATATCATAGAGAGCTGGACCTAAACAATGCAACAGTGAGAGTAAAATACTCTATAGATGATGTAGAATTCACAAGGGAACATTTTGCCGCGTATCCCTGCCAAGCAATTGTGACAAAGATTTATGGAAGCAAATCGGGATCTCTATCATTCACTGTGTCTATGAGCAGCAAGTTACAGTATGAATCATACATACATGGTCAAAACCAGATAATAATTGAAGGAACTTGCCCTGGTAAAAGGATTCCACCTGAAGGGAATTCAAATGAGAATCCGGAGGGAATTAAGTTTTCTGGAGTTTTGGAATTGCAAATTAGTGGCAGTAGAGGCCAGATTCTAATTTTGGATGACAACAAGTTGAGAGTTGAAGGTTCAGATTGGACGGTTTTGGTTCTGGTGGCTTCATCTTCATTTGATGGGCCATACACCAAGCCTTCTGATTCTAAGAGGGACCCGACTTCCGAGTGTCTCAGTTCATTGGATAAAATAAGAAAGTTATCGTACTCTGATCTTTTCGCACATCATGTAGAGGACTACCAGAATCTTTTCAGTCGTGTCTCGCTTCAACTTTCTAAAAGCTCCAAGAGCTTGTCAGAGAGCGGGAATTTGGAGGCAAAGAACTTTGTCCCTCCGATGGGTAATTTATATTATGAGGGAGGTGAAGATGATTCGGTTTCAACTGCAGAGAGGGTGCAATCTTTTCAAATTAATGAAGATCCTACTCTTGTTGAGCTTCTATTCCAGTATGGTCGATATTTACTTATTTCTTGTTCACGGCCTGGAACTCAGGTCGCAAACCTGCAGGGAATATGGAACAAGGATGTTGAGCCTGCTTGGGAGTATGCTCAACATTCTCTCTCTTTTAGTATTTTCGTTTCCGGATCATATTAGCTTAAGGAATGTTTGCCAGTGAGTTTTAGAACTTGAGCGAGTATCATTAAAAGTTTCTCAGGAACTTGGTTCAATTATATGTTGGGTCATCAAAGTATCCACTGTTTGAAAAAAAAGAACGAAAAAGGTGAAGCTTTTTTATTGGAAATATTCTAAAAGAGGTTTTTGTTATATTCTTTTCCTCCTTTTACTTAATTATCTTGAAAGTTTTGAATTTCTTCTCAGATTTTGATTTTCCATAGACAACTCATATAAGAGTTGGGAAGAAAGGAGGAAGGCTAGTAAACTTACTAAGTTACATTTTTCGGAAACTTATTTCTGTTATCCTGTGACTACTTAGATCACGGTCATTACAAGTTCATTAACACTGACAACTTTACCTTATTGCTCAGTGGTGCTCCTCATATGAACATTAATCTTGAGATGAACTACTGGCCTGCTCTTCCATGCAACCTTAGCGAGTGCCAGGAGCCTTTGTTTGATTATATATCCTCTCTATCAATCAATGGAAGTAAAACTGCAGAAGTAAGAATAATGTTTAGTCCTATATTTTTTGCGCTTTTTGGAATCAACTAATTTGGTCTCTCTGCACAATTTGCTTGGCAATTGCTCTTCTTGGTTGCCATGGGGGCAGTACTTTTAGTCATACGGCTTAAAACTAGTCATATTCATCTACCCGTTGGACCCTTGTGGTTTCTGTATTCCTCACGCAAGTTATGTTTCTTTGCTGTCTTACCTTCTCCATTTACAGGTGAACTATGAAGCAAGTGGTTGGGTTGTACATCATAAGTCTGACATATGGGCAAAATCATCAGCAGACCAAGGTGATGTTGTGTGGGCCCTATGGCCTATGGGAGGAGCATGGCTCTGTATGCATCTATGGGAGCACTACAATTATACAATAGACAAAGTAAGTTTATGTTTCCGATGTTAAATATATCTACCATTTTTTTTTTGTCATGAATATGTTTTGTTGTTCTTCTTCTTCCTTTTTTTTTTTTGAAGAGCAAGGTTATACTTGGCCAAACTTATTTAAAATAGATGATTTGATGGATGTTAATGCTCTATTCTTTTTTTTTTTTTTTTAACTCTGGAGAAGTTAACAAGGACTTGTAATATCCGGCATTTTAAGCTACTAGCTTAGTTGGGAAAAATAGAATTTGGTTTATTTTATGACTGAAGAGCAAGGTTATACTTGGCCAAACTTATTTAAAATAGATGATTTGATGGATGTTAATGCTCTATTCTTTTTTTTTTTTTTTTTAACTCTGGAGAAGTTAACAAGGACTTGTAATATCCGGCATTTTAAGCTACTAGCTTAGTTGGGAAAAATAGAATTTGGTTTATTTTATGACATTGTTTCTTTTAAGATTTTTCTATTAATATTGATGATTGTTTCTACATCCGAACCTCTTAACCTTGGCTAATAACAATCATTAATATTAATAGAAAATTCTTAAAAGAAACAATGTCATAAAATAAACTAAATTCTATTTTTCTCAACTAAACTAGTAGTTCAAAAGGCCGGATATTACTGGACTCAAATTAGCGGACTCTTAAAGTTACAAGCATAGACTTTGGTTAAGTTTTCAAAAGGTTTTAGAGATCTTCTTGGACACTTAGGCAAAGATATGTCAAGAAAATCCAACAAATATGTTGGTGGAGCTTTTTTTTTTTCTTTTTTTTTTTTTTTCCTTGGTTGAGGCCAGTATTCTAGGCTTAGAATATGGACTTAATGAGTCTTTGTGTGAAAAATGTGAAAAATTTATCCTGTTTGCTTGAATCGATCATACAGTATAAGGAACCGTGCACTTTCAGCTTCTGCAGGTTGATTTTCTATTAGTTTCTGGTCTTTTGACTGATCTTGTTGGAACTTGGAAGTAAAGGTGAAATGCTTTTTTCCTTGGAATTACTCACAGAATATATTGTTTTATAAGATTTAACCTTTTCCTTAAATTGTGCTGGAGACCATTTCTTTTGCAACAACTTAGTTCACTATCTAACTCAAAACTCAACTTCGCTGACCCGCTGCAACTCTCTTCTGCAAATTAGGATTTTCTGAAAAATAAGGCATACCCTCTGTTGGAAGGATGTGTAAGATATCTGCTCGATTGGTTAATTGAAGGCCCTGGAGGATATCTGGAAACCAATCCATCAACTTCTCCAGAGCATAACTTTATTACTCCAGATGGTAAGCTTGCTTGTGTAAGCTACTCCTCAACCATGGATATGGCAATCATAAATGAGGTTTTCTCTGCACTTGTTTCTGCTGCTGAGGTGAATCTCTTTGTCTAGACCTCCCAAAACATTTCTATTCTATGATATCCAAAGTTCTTCTTGTGTATATATCTGCTAATAAATATTTGAGATAGATTCTCAGCAAAAATGAGGACGACCTTATTGAAAAGGTGAAAAGGGCTCAACCAAGACTTTATCCAATAAAAATTTCCAGGGATGGATCTATCATGGAATGGGTAAGCTAATAGCCCTTTCTGTTAGTCTCAGTTCGTCGCAAAAGGTGTGTTCTTGTGTTTAAAATAACTTTGGTTCATGTACTTAGACTCTGTACACGCTAAGCAATACAATCTTTGTTAAGCCAGGCAGAAGAGTTTGAGGACCCAGAGGTGCATCATCGGCATCTTTCCCATCTGTTTGGACTATTTCCTGGGCACACAATAACTCTTGAGAAAACCCCAGACCTCTGTAAAGCAGCAGAGTTTTCACTTTACAAACGAGGTTGGTCTATTAACTAACTAGCTTCAGTTTTCTGTTTTCGTTTGGGTTATGCTATTGTAGCCTCTCCAAATGAAGATGTGTTATTGCTAACTGAGAAACATATTTGTACTTCCATTTTCTTTTCACTGCCAAAAACAGGGGAGGAGGGTCCAGGATGGTCAACCTCATGGAAAATTGCTTTGTGGGCACGCCTGCATAATAGCGAGCATGCATATGGCATGATCAAGCGTTTGATCAACTTAGTTGATCCTGAACAAAAGAGGGATTTTAAAGGAGGACTATACAGCAACTTATTTGCTGCACATCCTCCTTTCCAGATTGATGCCAACTTTGGGTAAGCAGTATGGTTTGTTTGTATGTGTGTACTTTCCTTTTCGACCGCAAAATTTCTGGTCTCAGCTGCACCCTAGTACTGTATTATCTGTAGAGCAACATAATCTGTCACATAATCAACAATGAAAACTATGTATGAAAATTCAACATTTTTTTTTGTCAGCTTTGTTGCAGCAATAGCAGAAATGTTATTACAAAGCACCACAACTGATGTCTACTTACTTCCTGCTCTTCCGACCACTAAGTGGGCGAATGGTTTTGTGAAAGGGTTAAAGGCTCGTGGTGGGATAACTGTTAACATAACATGGAAAGAAGGAGATCTTCAAGAAGTCAGTCTCTGGTCAACGGACCACAGTTCTGTAAGAACATTGCATTATAGAGGAACTACAGCAACGGCAACTGTACAATTTGGCAAAATATGCACTTTCAATAGAGATCTAGAATGCTTCCACACTTGTTCTCTTTAATAGCTGTTTTTGCTTAAAAGATTGTGATGGAAGATGAATTCGAGAGGCAATCAGTTATGTATTTTCTCAATAATTATGTAAACAGATTCATCTTAATTTTTTGTTAGCCTCTTGGAGTTTGTAATTTTTTGTAATTTCAGCCCATCACAGAACCATAGCTTCATGTATTTTTCACCAGTACCAATGACTCTAATTATAGGGAAAAAGAAGAAAAGTACGAATGAAAATTAATGAGAAATGACAAGCTTATATGTGGCATCAACTGTGGTCTTTTTCTATAGAGAAAAATCCAACTGCTTGACATTGAACATAATGTCGTTTTTGAATAATACGATATAATGGTGAAGGTCACGTCATTTTCCCTACTTGCAATAGTCTCTTCTCTGATGAAAGACGGCAAATTGTTTTAAACTAGTGGCGATTTATAGGCACACACAACATTAGACTTGTAAAAACAAAACATGTCGTTTGAATATATGCTGGACATGTTCCATAAACGACAAAGACGTGAGAGACGACACGGAAATATAGAACAAAAAGACGAGAGACCACAACAAAATTCAGTTCACACACAATATGTCGTTTTATTTTTTACTTTAAAAGAGCATTTTAACTCACAAAACCTTTCTTTTGTACGTAATCAACATGGAACGAAATTAAAAAAATGAAACAACATTACCGTTTGAGTTATTGCCCGGTAAAACTTCATAGTGTAATCAAAACTTCATAGGTAATTGCAAAGAATGTCGTGTTCCTTTATTGGAAATGAAAAGAATGTGTAGTTTTCTTACTAAAGCGCAGCAAAAAGTTTGATGGTTAGATTAGACGCCATGTTGTTTTGAGTACACAAGATTTCTATTGCATAGTTGTTTTTCCCACACGTGCACATTAGAATCTTTGACCTTCTCCCTATTCGGAAAGGACAGCTGCCCAATTATAAGGGATTTAACATTTAAAGTCACAAGAAAAGAGGGCTAACTTACCTTCCACGGAATTAGGAAATCAAATTCAAATCCGCCAAAATTTCCTCCCCCAAATCACGCTAATCTTTAGGGATTCTTTCCGTCGCCAGCCTCTGCCATCTGTTTCCAGACCTTGCGATCTCCCCTGAAAAATTCCGGTGATGGAGCGAAATGGGATAGATCACTCCAAATTCATAAGAAGATGGGAGAACCCCCGAATTAGAGAGAAAAACTCAACTCTATATTCAATATCTCAATATTCAAATCAAACAAAATCAAAGCTAAGTTGATAAACTAAAACAAAGGATTATTATAACTAAATTCTCCTAGATCATCCGGCCACGCCGGCGTTCTTGTTTGAGGAAAGGACGCTCAAGAGTCAACGCACGGAGCCATTTACCGAGCCCAAATCCTCCAATCTCGCAATCTTATCAACGCCTTCAGTAGTGCACTCTTTTACGGAGTGTCCCAGGCGTCCGCATCCGAAACAGAAATCCGGAAGCTTCTCGTACCGTAAATCTGCCCAAACAATCGGACCATGATCACCAAGCCTCACCTTCGCCACACGACGAAGAGGCTTCGTAATGTCCGATGAAACCAGAACCCTCATGAACTTTCCCACGCATTTCCCATTTTTGAAGGATCGTAGACTTTGAGGACCAATATCGCGCGATCGAAAATCCACGGTTCGGTCTCGAGCACTCTGTCGCAATCATCCTTTTCTTTAAAGGAGAAAAGAAAAACGCCTTTTGAAACCTCCCTTATGATCAGTCGATTCTCCACGTTCCACAAACTTGTCATCAATGACTCGAAAATTCGTTTGTTGAAAGGTTTACAGGTGAAAAACCGTCCCAATAAGCCGTACTTCACGTCGTCTTGTCCCTTCACCATTAGCTCGCTCGAAACGCCAATGACGTCTTCTTCAGCTGGGGTAATAGAGAATTTGTTCTTCCATCTCCCAACCATCTTCACAACAAGCGAAACTTACACTCGAAGGAGGGCTGAGATATCAGCGTCTCATAGGTTTCCTAGACAAAAAAAAAAGTCCTTTTTTTTTTAGAAAATTTGATAAAAGAGACAAGAACAAAACATAATTTGAGGAAATAGACAAGTTTTTTTTTTTTTATAACAAAAAAATCATGACGTGTATCTTACGTGGCAAAAAATGGGTCATATTAGTCTAAGTGTATGGGTCATTTTCAAAAACTCTCTCCTCATAAAACCGACCGCTCGACCCTCTCTCCACCCGACTGAGCTCTCTCACGACCGACTGCCGGTTTTTCTCTCCGATCACCTCTCACCGACCACCGGCTTTTCTCTCCAATCAGTCACCAACCTCACAACTGACCATCACCGACCGCCGGCTTTCCTCTCACCTGTTTCTCTCTCTCGCCGAAGTTCTCTTACCGGTCAATCCACTCTCTCCAATTTCTCTCGTCGGCCGACCGATCACTCCTCACCAAACACCGACCGTTCACCAAAAACCGACCTCCCTTCCCACTAAAACCGACCAAAAACTGACCCCGACCACTCACCAAATTCCCGACCACAAAAACTGACCACCTGCTCACCAAAATCTGACTAAAAACCGGCGGCTTTTAGACTGAAATGACATCACAAAACAGCTCTTCTTCCTCAACTAAAACGGCCATTTTCCAAACACTTGTCAACGAGGCAACGAAATCTGCTGAGGTAATATTCTTGTTTTACCTTTTCTTATATATTTTTGCAAGAACAAAAACTTAATATAAGCAACATTGGTCTGTTCATAGTCGGTTCTTAGTCGATTTTGGTTCTGGTCTGTTCGTAGTCGGTTCTAGGTCGGTTTTAAGTCGTTTCTGGTGGTCAGTTCTTAGTCGGGTCTTGTCGAGTTGGGTCGGTTCTGGTCGATTTTGGTCGGTTCTAGGTGAAGTCGGTTCTTGGTCGGTTGGTGGTCGGTTCTTGGTTGGTTCAGGTCGTTTTTGGTCAGTTTTGGTCGATTATGTTCAGTTTTGGTCGGTTCTGTTTGTTTGGTTGGTTCCTGTCAATTTTTTGGGTCGGTTCGGTCGGGTCATGGTCGGTTCAGTTGGTTCTTGTTTAGTTTCTTGGTCTATTCTAGTCGGTTCTGTCGTTTTGGTCGGTTCTGACCGATGTGTTTTTTCTTTTTTTTTTTAGTATGACCTCCCAAAGTACAACACAGGTGAACTTCCTAGGATTGGACATCTAAAGATGATCATGGATCCTATGCGGGAGTATTTCCCAGTGAAAGTCACTATGAAGTCAAAGATCGAGGCTTTTGAGGTAATAAGGCAGAATCTAGACCCTGAAACGGAAATGCCGATTTTCAAGGAATTTGCCTTCGGACATTTTATTTCGATGTCTGAAAATATGATCTATTTTGGAGTGTTGACACACTATCTGCTTTTGAGGCAAATAAAAATAAAAAAGAGTCATGAGTTGTGGTTCATGGTTAATGGAACCACAACTAGGTTTGGAATGAGAGAATTTGCATTAATTACTGGATTAAACTGCGGGGAAACTCCAGAGCTGGATGTGGTCTTGAAAGCTTCGAAGAATATAAGATTGTTGGAGCATTTTAAGTCCCACGTAGTACTTGTTGCTGATTTAAAAAAATTGCTCACGGGGAAGAAGATAAAAGGTAGCGATAAAGCAAAGATCGCTATCATTTATTTTTTAGCACAAGTATTATTATCTGGGGACGAGAAGAAGACCGCCCCACTGGATTGGCTGTCTTACGTTGACGATTTAGAATTCTTCAACAGCTATCCGTGGGGCAGGGTGTCTTTTGAATGCACTCTGCGGGCTTTGAGGAAGAACTTGAAAGAGAAATTCCAGAAATGGGTTCGGAAAGGACGTAATAAGAGCATCAAGAAAACCTACTCAATATGCGGGTTTCCTTGGGCCTTCCAAGTATGTCATACAGTTATATGCATAATTTTTCATGGCCTTATAGTAAATAATACCATAATTGGTTTACTAGACTTAAAAAAATTGATTTAACGCAGGTTTGGGCATTCGAAACATTTCCAACCATCGGCGCTACGTTTGCAAAGATGGTTGATGGACGTCTTCCCAGAATCCTCAAATGGGAGGCACGCCGGGTTCATTGGTCGAGGTTAGACAGATAGACGACCTCATGCAAAATGGCGAGGTAAGGGTTTAAATACAATGTTTTTATAGGTGTAAATTTTACAAAATAGGCATATTTATTTTTTTTACAATATGTTTCCACCTAAATAATCATTGAATGTATGTTCTTTTAATATACAGGGAATGGCCGTACCAATTCTTTATCCCACTGAGGAGGAAATGAATAGTATGTGCATGAGGTTGTATCTGTCTTATGCCGACCAAGAAGATCCTGAGATTGACCAGCTTGCATCATTTTTGGACTCTAGTGCAAGAATGGTCCATGTCCAGCAACCAAAGCCTCCCAAATAATTGGCTCATCTCCAACTACTTCCCTAACAACAACAGCAACTTTCCCAACAACAACAACAACAACAACAACAATAACAACAACAACAAGAACAGCAACAACAACAACAACAACAACAACAACAACAACAACAACAACATGAGCAACAACAACAACAACAACAATCTCGTCCGCAGGATGATATGTCTATTGATTACATAGTTGACATACTCTATCACAGGATGGTAGAGTACAATAGTAGACATTTTGAAGCCATCAACAAGAGGCTAGACTCGCTAGACCAATCTGTTAGAAAAATTAAGGACAATATAGCATGTCTAGCGAAACAACAATTATAGCCAAAGCCAGTGCCTGAGGGAGAACTTGAGCTACAGGTTCAGCCAGAGCCTGAGGCAGAACTTGAGCCACAGGTTCAGCTTGAGCCTGAGGCAGAACTTGAGCTTCAGGTTCAGCCTGAGCCTGAGGAACAACATGAGCCACAGGTTCAGCCAGAGCCTGAGGATCAACTTGAGCAACAGGTTCATTCAGAGCCAGAGTCTGAATCGAAGAATGAAAAGTGACTTAAAAGGCCCAGGAAGTATTTTGAGTCGCCTTACACAGATCCCCTGCGAAACGTGAGGAAGAAGATGTGGACCTTTAATGATGCTGTCGAGGCCTTCAACAAGTGGTTCGCTGATTCTAGTACAGACTCTGAGCTGATTGAGTGCGGTTTTGGAGATTGGAAGAAGGACTTCTTCCGGATCATCTTGAAGCCAGGTGAATGGCTGTTCAATGACGTAAGTAATCACACAACATATTTTCTAAATTTATAGTCTTATTTTTTATATCATTATCATTATACTTAAGTTATTTGTTATGACTTACAGTAAATTGACGAGGCATGGGGTCTTCTATCAATTAGAAGGTCAATGGCACCCGAAGGGCAGTTTAATAACAATATTGTCGTCCTAGATGATGTATTTTGCCAAAAGTTGAGAGCACGATTCATCACCAACAAAAAGAAATTGGCAACATATACATTTGACAACGACCTAGATGAATATGTCTGTGAAAAAAAGCGCATAATTGGCCATAAATGGGATGGCGTGCAGGGCTTCACTATGCCTCTTAACATTGAGAGGAAGCATTGGGTTGCGCTTTATGTTGATTTATCTGAATTCAACATAAAGGTGTATGACTCAGCTGTTATAATGTACAGAGATCAACAGATGCAAAGACACGTGGAGCCAATCACTGTGCATGGCCAATCGTTCATCCTAAGTGGTTGGTCCACAACCTTAGATCAGGTGACTGCGGACTTTTCACATACAAATTTATTGAATATCTTGTCCGCAGAATCCCGTTAGAAGACCTCGCTGAAGAACAAGTAGAAGCTTACCAGTTGCAACTTGCGGTTGGAATTTGGAGCGAGTACAAGCTGAAGAGGCCCGTGAGTACTAGTATATGAAATGTTTGTTGTTTTGCTTGTTGTAAAATGTATACACAACATTATTGGTGTTGTAATATTTTTATTATTAGCATTGCAATGCATTTATAATTATCATATTCAACAGGTTATTTTGGCTCTGGGGAAGCTTATATTTATGGGGACATGCTGCTCAAATTTTTACACAATAATGTACGTTTTTTTTTTTGGAAAACTTCGAACTAGTCCCGAAGATGGCAAAACACGTGTTTCATTGTAAAATTGGGTTTTATCGGGGGGCACTAGTACACGGTAGGGGTTGCGAGGGCTGAGAGGGTGGCACGGGCCCCCGCGCGCGCGGGGGCAAGGGCGCGCGCCCGCGGGGGGCATGGGCATG